TTGTTATCAGTACTGGTCACTAGCTGATCGTTTATCCATATCTAGCCCATGCCCACTATTGGCAGGCTGAAGTGGGTGGGGAGAAATAAAACTGCCTGTGGTCCTTTGTGCACAGTGGGGCTTTCTTGAATTGCACCGTTTCCTGTAAATTCTGAAAGACTGAGGGCTCGTTCAGATCCAGCTTGTGACTTGGCAGGGAAGGGAATCTCAGCTAAAAGCATTTGAGAAATCCCACATAGGGCATGCCCAAACCCTGGAGTAGCATATATGGAAAGTAACTGCTTGGAACCCGGCAAAAGAAGAATGGCTGAAAGAGCTGGGGAAAAGAATGGTTTGTGTGTCTGTGTATGTGGTGGGGAGAATATGGTAGTTGTTTTCCAATATCTGAAGGGCTGTCAGACAGAAGATGGAGCAGGCGTGGCCCCTGTTTCTTCACAGGGCAGGACTAGAAGCAGTGGGTGGAAATCACAGGGAAACAGATGTTAGCTAATCAGTTATTCTGAGAACTTCCTACTGGACAGAAAAACTGTTCAACAGTGAAACACACCGAGAAGTGGTGAGCTGTCCTTTGCAAGAGATATTTCAGCAGAAGCTGGCCTGCCATCTGTCAGGGATGCAGCAATAGCATTCTGAATTTCGGATCATGCATTGAGCAACTGTTGGGATAGATAACCTCCAAGGTTCATTCAGAGTTTCAACTCTGTGATTCACCGTGCTTGAATTCTGTAGTGCAAATACTTAAAAGCAAAACAAAGCACTACACCAAAATGTTTTCCCCTGCAGTTATTGATTTGTGCTCTCTCTCTATATATATATTTCAGAATTATTGTTCTGCTGATAGAAAGGTATTGATAGCAGAAATCTTCCAAAAACTAGTTTTGGATTCTGTCTGTCCTTGGGGAGTCACCGGAGACAGGCAAGAGGGGCCATGCCAAATCAGGTCAAAGATCTGTCCAGACCAGTCTTCCTCAAGCTGGTGTGTTCCAGATGTGTGGGGCTACAAGCTCCATAACTTGCATATTGTCTGGGCATGATGGAAGTTGTAGCCTGACACATCTGGAGGGCACAACGTTGGGGAAGGCTGAGCCTCTCCGTAACCAATAAGTATCTTCCAGAAAGTCAGCAACCAGGGTGCGAAGGCTACCGTCCCCGCTGCTTTTGCATTCCAGCAATATGCATTTTCAATATGAAACTATTGTGTAGCTGTCATTACCCATGCTTATTAGCCCAGAAGACTCTCTTGGCCTCACGTCTGGAACTTCTGCCTGGAAAGTCTGGAACAACACAATCCTATGCATGTCTACTCAAAAATATTTGCCACTGATTGCAATGGGACTTACTGCCAGGTAATTGTAATTGTGCACAGGATTGTAGCCTAGTTGTCTATCTTTTCTTTAAGTTTAAAAGATTTTAAAAAAGCTCAGTAAATCAACAACAACAACAACAAAAGTGCAGCAACTGGGCTCCCACTTTCCTGTACTACTGGTAGACAAATTCAAAATTTAGACAAATTCTAAATTTTAATAAATCCCATGCATCATTCCATCAGAGTAAGCACCACTGAACTTGGAGGGTTTATTTAGGTCTAGACCACCTCACAACCGAAGCTCTCTGGGAAGTTCTTACTATGGAGTGCATAGATTCATAGCGAACACAAGTAAGCGTTAACAAACATTCTTCAGCCAGCTGAAACATGGCCTTTAGCCTTGAATGGAGACCATATTGCCAAGCAATGTTGCTATTTAAACTGCTAACATGAAGTCATTTTTATTACTGCAATTATCATTAATAGGCACCACATCAAAGAAGTAAAGATGTAGCCAGCCCGTGATTATTTTCTTTATTTTCTGCGCATCCTCTGTGCTAAATTCTTCCAAGCAATAGTAAAATTTGAAAGCCGCGTTGTTAGTACATTTTTTTTTTTGGAATAAGTTTTATTCTTAATAGACCTAACAAAAAAGGAACTAAAAAGACATCAATCATCAAAAACATCAGACCTACTGGGTCAGCCCCCCACATTTTTTCTTTTTATGTTAAAGTATAAACATATTTAAATCTATGCATAGTCCCATTTCTCTAGCCAATAATAAAAAAAGTCCCAGGTTTGATAGAAGTCTGTATCTTCTTTCTCCTTCAGAGACAAAGTCAATCTGTCCATTTCGGCACAGTCCAAGATCTTTTTTAGAATCAGTTTGTCAGTAGGTGGCTCTTCACTCTTCCAATGTTGCAAATGCAATCCTCGCAGCAGTAGTTACATGTAGAATCAAATACATTGCTTGTTTACCAACATCATCAGGTACAATGCCTAATAAGAAAACTTCAGGTTTAAATGTTAGAGGTTTTTGTAACATTTCCTCAAGCCATTTGTGTATTTTAATCCAATACTTTTTTACCTTATCACAGGTCCACCACATATGATGAAAAGTACCCAGTTTGTGTTTACATTTCCAACATCCATTTGACATATTTGGAAACATCTTAGCTTAACCTCTTTGGTGACAAATACCATCTATAAAACATTTTATACAGGTTTTCTTTGTATGAGGTGGCTAATGTTACTTTAATATTTCTTTCCCACAGTTTTTGCCATTTCTCTAACTCAATGTTATATCCAAAATTTTGTGCCCACGTTATCATAGTTTCCTTAACCTGTTCATCTTCCATTCTCCTATCCAGGAGAAAGTTATACAATCTTTTAATCATTTTCTCATCTGATTTAAGAATCATGTGGTCCAATGCTGATAACTTTGTTAGTACATTCTTGCATTCAGAAGAACGAGGTCTGTCGGCATTCTGACAAACCTGCTCTGAAGATGGTCCCAGTGCCGAGCTCTCTTTCTTCCCAGCCTTTGGGGTAAAGGGTCTAAGCAGGGTTTTGTGTGCAGAATTTGAAAATGAAAATAGTTCTGAAGAATCCCGGACACCCGAGCTGTATTTTGGTAGCAAGACTCTGTATTTTGGGGATCTCAGAAATCTAGGCTCTCTGAAATCCAGGGAGAAACCTGGAGGAGAGTAATTTCAGAAGGTTCCTTAACTACTGCTTAATCCAGTTCTGACGATTAATTTTCTCCATTGCTTACCCTTGCCCAGCAGCAACTGTAAACAGTTATTCAAAAAGAGGCATCCTATAGGCAACTAATTGCCAGCAGTGATAAAACCCATCAATCATTTCCCCTTCTTTCTGATAAGGAACTTGTGCTGAAACAATGGGCTTATGTGGTGCAGTTTTTTTCTGGTAGTACTTTGGTTTGATTTTTAAAAAATTACATTATGCATTTGTTCTTTCGTAGGAGAAAATTGAATCAATATTTTGAGTCCTTGGCAAGCGCAATTTTGAAAGCTTTATTTGAGTTTTGTCTAGCATGGGCAATGATAAAAAAGATCTAAATGGGTGTCAAAGAACGTTTTGCATACAGCTACAAATATTTAAGGACATACAGGCTTTATTACAGGTAGAGGTATCTGAATCTGCCCAGAGGGAAGACAGCTGGAATCCTGTATTTGATCTCACAAGAATTAGATCAAGTTTTCATTGGAAAGAGAGTGCCTCTAGGCAAGGCTATGTGAGCTTATTTGGTAATTGCAGCATGAAGCCACAGAGGCAGTTGCAGAAGTCAACATTCTGAGAATCACAGGTATGCATTTTTAAAAAATCAAGGATCTAGTCCTTAAGTCAGTAACTCTCAGAAGTGTGAGCAGAGCCGCTAAACAGAGGGCTTCATTGGGTGTCCTGAAGCAAGAAAACATGGGCCATCTGCTACACTTTTAATAGCTGCTTAGAAGAAGGAATCCCAGCAGAATGGGAAATGGTCATGCAGAAATTTCCGCTTCTACACCACTGTGACTTGTGTGGGATCACTACCTCTTTGGCATCTGGCTACCCTAGAGGTTCAGTGCCTTGCACAGTTCTTACTCAGGGGAGATCTACATGGGGGACTGGATGAGGCCAGGGATTTAGGGGCACAGACTAGAGTCTTTCCCCTCCCCCTCCCAGAAGTTGAGGAGCTCCTCAGGGCACTGGACATCACAAAGGTGATGGACCCTGACGGGTTACATCTGAGAGTACTTTGGGAGTTGGCAGGGGTACTCTCGTGCCCATTGGCCTCCATTTTTGAGACCTCATGGACAACGGGTGAGGTTCCAGAGGACTGGAGGGTGGCGTCAGTGGTCCCACTTTTCAAAAAGAGCAGTAGAGGGGACATGGGGAATTACAGGCTGGTTAGCCTTACGCCCATTCTTGGAAAAACAATGGAAAGACTCTTAGTAGCGAGAGATCTGGTACCCCTAGATAAGGAAGGGAGGTTGGTGGCCACATAACATGGCTTCTGCAAAAACAGATCCTGCCAGAAGAACTTTGTGGAATTCAATGACAAGGTTTCAAGGTGGCTAGATGGGTGGGACACGGTGGATGTGGTTTACCTGGATTTCAGCAAGGCCTTTGATAAAGGCCTGGTTGAGAAATTGAGGAGTTTTGGGATAGACCAATGCACTGTCTGATGAATAAGGGCATGGTTGACAGACTGAAAGCAGAGGGTAACTATTCGTGGGGAATCACTGAGATGGCAGCCAGTGATGAGTGGGGTCTCCCCGGGCTCTGTCCTGGGACTGATCCTGTTCAATCTTTTCATCAATGACCTGGAGAAGGGAGTGACCGGTCTGCTGATCAAATCTGCAAATGATACCAAAATGGGAGTGATGGCCACAACTGATGAGCAAGTCCTCCAGATCCAAAAGGATCTGGACAGACTATGGAAGTGGGCAGGGGAAAACAGGATGGCGTTCAATGTGGATAAGTGCAAGGTCTTGCACTTGGGGCATAGGAATGGGTGTCATAAGTACAGGTTAGGGGACAAGTGGCTGGAGAGCAGCACTTGGGAAAGGGATCTCAGGGTACTGGTCGACTGCAGGCTAAACATGAACCAGCAGTGTAATGTGACGGCCAAGAGGGCGAACGCCACCCTTGGATGCATAGCCAGAAGCGTGGCTTCTAGATTGAGAGATGTATTACTACCACTCTGTATGACTCTGGTGTGCCTGCAACTGAAGTATTGTGTTCAGTTCTGTACTCCACACTACAGGAAGGATATAGCCAGTTTGGAATCAGTGCAGCGTAGGGCCACGAGGATTGTTGCCAGATTGCAGGGAAGGCCATATGAGGCAAGACTGAGGGAACTGGGTCTCTTCAGCCTGGAGAAGAGGAGACACCGAGGGGATCTGTTGGTGACATACAGGTACGTGAGGTGGGTAAGGACCTGTTTTCCCCTGAAGAGGAGGGCAGGACATGTTCCAATGGAGCAAAGCTCAGGCAACCAAGATTCAAAGTGGATGCCAGGAAGTACTTCCTGACATTTAGGACCCCAAGGATATGGAATGGGCTTCCATGGGACGTGTTCGAGGATAGGCTGGATGTGCACATGGTAGGCATGCCATGAGCAGATCCAGCTGGAGCCAGGGGTCAGACTAGATGGCCTGGGAGGCCCCTTCTGACTCACTCTGTTTCTATGTTTCTACTCTCAGCTAGGTAAAATGGAATAAATTATGCAAGACAGCAATGTTGACTGTCCTGAGAACCCTAGAGGTGTACTGGGAAATTTGAAGTGCAGGTGCTCATCACGGCAGTTCCTGTGGTCCAGCAATTCAGCCAGCTGCATGGATCCCATCCACAAACCAGTTCTTGTAGTTCTCTTCTCCACCATGAAAGGTGTCCCCTGAAGCTAATAGGCCTTACATGCCCATTTGAGACAAAGTCACCCGCCAATTACTTTGCAAAACAATGGGGTTGCTGGAAAAAGTCATGTTCTCCAAGCAACGGTGAGGACTGCAACTATGCTCAGAGGGAACTAGGAAGTTTGGGTGGGAGGTATGAAGGGCTTGAAAAACCCTTTAGCTTCACCTTTCAGGCATGGACAATTTGTGACCCCTTAAAATGTTGACTTCCAAATCCCTCGGCCCCTTACAATTTGCTGTGCTGGCTAGGGATGGCTGGGAGTTGCAAGTTATCTGGAAGGCCACAGGTTGTCCTCCACAGCCAAGACGCTGGCCCTGATCCCACTGGTTTCTTTTCAGCATGCAGAGAAGTATGTGTTGCTGACAGAGAGCCTGAGGGATAGCGCTACTGATGCCTGTCAGTTCATTAAGTGGAGAGGTGCAGACCCATTTCTTGGCAAAATTCCCCTTGCCCTAATTTTCCATTTGCCTCTGAAGTAGCTGTTTACATCTGAGGGCAAACAGCAAGCAGGATAGGTGGAATTTTCACTGGGAAACTGGCCTGGGCCATGATCTGGATCAAGAGCAAATCACAGTTAGGAGCTTCTCAGCTTCTTCTTCTTCAAAATAAAAGTGACTGGTTTCAGTCTGTTTCATTTTCATTTTTATTTTTCAAAGTGTGAATGATGTAACAACTTAGCCCATATTTAACTATGTCTTGATGTTCCTTAAAGTGTGTTTAAAGGCATCAAAGTATTTCAGATAATTCAAAACTGAAATATTCCTAGAGTTGGTCCCAAGATAAGCAGTAACATCAGACACACCAAGGAAATATGGACAAGGAAGGATTCCGATGCATTTCTTGTGCATGTTTGCTGTGGCTGAGCGGAACCAAATGGTTTTATTTGTGATCTGCAGTGGCACTGTGTAGCGAAGAAGCAGAGTTGAACCAATATAACGTCTGAGTCATGCTGTACATCTGCAGAACTTAAGCTAAGCTGTGAAATATTCAGAACAACATTACAATCTCACACGTACTTCATTTCCTCGTTCAAAATGGCGTACTTCACCTTGCTTCATCAGGTGCTGGGCTGAGGCTTGCGAGGAAAACTGCCAAAACACCCCCCACATGAGAGCATGCCTGCGTCACTGGGACGGCCTGTATCTTCAGTCCGACCTGACTGACAATTACAAAGTGGGATAGGCACTGAACAACTACCTCGCTTGTAGATGAGAGAAGGCAATGAATGGCATCAGCAACATCATTCTGTGCTTTGTGATGTCTTGGTTGCCTAAAGCCAAAGCATAGCATACTGTTGGACTCAGGGGGTCCAGGCCTGAGGCGCTAAGCCCAGTTAAACAGGGCAAGGGTGAGAGACAGAAAAGAGCAGTATTTGATTCTCAAGAATAAGTTTGATCACTGCAAAATGGCAATTGACCCAGAAGGCTGGCAGCAGTCCCCTTCTATACCTTGGATGACCAGGTTGCAATGACAGACACTCATTGAATTGAAATACCCATTGTGAGCACTGATTGGCACCTTTGAATTCAGGTGGTTTCTGTGCTTACCTGGAAGGCTGGGCTGCCTGGAGCCTGGGCTGGGAGCTTTTGGCAAGGGATCGCCCAATCCCTACCCATTGGCAATGTCCTATTGTTGAGCATGCTTGCGACAAGACTAGCCTGCTCCTGCCTAATGAAGGGCAGCCAGGTACATCCTACAATGCCATGCATCTAGATTTGGATACCTACATGGATACCATGGAGTCAAAATTAGGCAATTTAAAAAGCATTTTCATGGGTCATTGAGCCTTTCTCATGTGTTTCTGTACACATGCACAAATGATGGTAATGCAGGAGCAAAAGCCAAAGAAATCCACTTTGAAATCAAATTAACCTTCTTGGCAATGTAGCTGTTATACGCAGATTGGAACACAAAGATAAGGTTTGAGAGAACAACCCTAAGAAAACCTAGATGACTGCTTGTTGTTGTTGTTTTGTTTGATTTAGGATGGGATGAAAGAACCCATTTGCAAAGAAAATGGCACTTTGGTAGCCTAGTGGCCAGTTTAGGGAGCAGACAGAATAAAATGCTAGTAGCTGTTAATGGCTTTCTGTATTGCGGAACAATTTCCATTGCTGCTTGTAAATAAACCTTCCAGTAGGGGAACTCACTAAAGAAGACTAGCTACCTCTGTGTTTCTGGAAACATTTTTAATGGGTTTGTGTGTGTCGTGGGGGAGGCCATTTTGTTAAAACCCCATAAGCGTGTAGTTCGGGATTGTTGAACCTTTTTCATCCCAAGGGCCAGATTCCATTTCAGAAGCGCTCTTAGGGGCTGCACTCTGCTGGTGGGTGGGCAGAAGGCAAAAAGGGAAAGGAGAGGGAGTCAAAATACTGACCTTACTGCACACCACAGCGTAAAGCTCTTACTGCCAGTTTACTGCCTTAGGGAAAAGCATGCCAACCTTTGCAAATGGGAGAAAAAACCTGAACAAAAACCAGGGAAGCACCAAACAATTGGCAGTTGAAGGAAAGTGGTGGCACCAAGGAAAGGAACCGCCTAGGAACCACCACTGTAAGCCCTAGGAAAGCCTCGGCAATTATAGGCAGTCTATAAATGCATGTAAATAAAATAAATAGAGGGATAAATAAATAAAGGAACATGGCTGGTGGGGGCTCTGTGGGGCAGGATTTGGATCACAAACTTGAGGCTTTGCACTTGGGGCATAGGCTATGAGCATAATGCCCAAACTGTTCACAAAAGGCAGACACTGCTTTGCTGGGGAAAAGGGCTCTCCTTTTCGGAATCATATTTATGCTGATCAGTTTAAATAGAACGGAATGGGACTAGGCCCACCTCCTTGCAATGCTGGTTTTATCTTGACCGAAGGGTAGTTTAGTGCCTTTAGTTATGAGCCCTTTTAAAAACAAAACAAATCCAAAGTGGAAAATGACCAGAAAAATAACCAACTAGGAACAAGGAAGAAGAAAGTTCTCTTTTGTACTTTATACATATTTTTCCAGTCTTTCAGAAAGGCAACCAGGTCACTGAGAAAGAAAGAGGGAAAGGAAAGAAACCAGAATATTCTGTCTGAAAATTATGGGGAAAACCATCTTTACATGAAAAATATTAATTATATGAGAAGACTTATGGGGTCTGACCCTCAAGCTCTATGTTTGGTGGCAGGGAAGTCAGAAACATTAAGCCCAGCTGGCTCTAAGAACCAATCTGGTCATGCAGCCACTGATATTCTCCTCCATGAATCTGCAGCAGTGTAGCCAGATACTGTTGTCCTTGGACTTAATTATCTTCTGTCCTCCTTTAGATAACCATAGGCATTCTTTCAATCAGGGAGCATACAATTAACATTGCTCCTTCCTCTGCTTTACAACTGTTTCTACATTCCTGGTATGTTAGATCTATTTTCAAGCCCTGATTAAAAAGAACTACCCTGAACATTTTGCATTTTAAATTCATTTGAACCACCGCACCACTACGACTACATGAATAAATGAGGTTTGCTTATGCACCCTGATGCGAAATGCATTTAGTTGGGAAGATGCAAGATTTCATTATAGTAAAGGAGACTATATTTCTTAAGTAAAAGTAAATGAATGAACATTTGCTTCAGGCACAGGCCTGGCAGGCCATCCTCAGCTATAAAACGTTTCTGCAAAATAAGAAAGGAGGTCACAGTAAGCCACCTCAGCCCCGGGTCATGTGCTGCACAGGCCCATGCAGGCCAGGAGCTGGCACTGGGCCTGTTTGCCCTGGCAAACTGCAGCCCTTTCATCTGAAGCACCTGTGGATTCCACAGTTCAGCTAAGTATTGTGTGAAAAAACGCCCCCTTTTGTCTGTTTTGAACCCATTCAGCTACACTGCATGGCTCCAGTTTTGAATATTATGAGAGAGGCAGAAAAACACCCGATTTATCCATTCTTTGCCTTTTGCCCTATAAACTAAGAAGCTGCAATGTCACTGACCTTTCCCCATAGATGAGTTTTACCAAGTCTGCTTTTCATTTAATTTTTATTTTTACTTTGGTTGCCTCTTTCTCTTCCTTTTCTGTGCGAGACAAATACCACTGGCATTGCATAATATCATTTACTGCTCAGTGTGAAGGAGTCTGTGTATCTAGCTTTGGCTTTGAAGAATGCTTCTGCGGCTTTATAGAGCTGCCATGTGGCAGAGGGCAATCCCATATTTCCTTCATGGTGTTGTGATAGGAGAAATTGCACCCGTTGTGGTCTTTTTAGTTTTAAGCTATGTTGAGCGACAGAAGTTCCTCAATAGACTGAGATAAGCTCCAGCAACTCTGGGCTTGATGAACTGGACCCAGCCTCAGCGATGCACCCAGCATGCGTGAAATCAATGGGGCAAGTACATCAGGAGTAACTTATGCCTCATTAATTTCAGAGAGCCTACTTAAAGTACCACTAAGCTTGCATTGAACCTGACCGTTTTAATATCTCTGTTAAGCAGTAACACATGGATTGATTTTTCTGTTAAGAATGTTTCTTGCTGTTCATCAGCAACAACTTTATTTATAGTCTATGTTTCTACCACCATTCCTACGGTTGCTTACAATATAAATCCACATGCATACAATAATATCATAAGATACCAAACAACAATAATAAAATGACTAACGGACAAAACATGTAAAACAATCAAAACCCTGGAACTGTTGATCCTAAAAATATGTTATAAATTGTAAGTCCATCAAAGCAACACAGTCTCCAATTCTGATAAAGTACCATCAAGCAGTAATTTGGGTTCTCCAGCTAAAAAGAGCAAGGACCATTGACTTGGTGATGGCTAGAATCTTCTTTAGTGCTCTCAGGAGGTGTGAAGTACTCTGATGGCTGTGAATTCCAGAGATTATTGAATAAACATGCTTTGCAGGAGTGATCTTGGCCTATACTTCATTGGTAGAGAGGAAGCCTCTACTCTGCTTTGCCATTTGAATGATATCAAGGTGATACATACTGAGTAAAGTGGATCAGAATACATATCACATGCACACAGTTGAGTATCACAGCTTTAATATTTCTCTTGGTTGCAACATTCCCTGTTCTTTCCCTTGTATGGGCATTTCTGGTCATTTCATGGTAGAAATACAGCCAACAGGACCACCTAATGGTATTTATTTTTATTTATTTATTTTTGCCTGAGCTGAAGGACAAGCTGGCACCCTTCCCATTCTGTATCCAGAAGCCAACTGGACAGGAAGTTGAAGCTTTCTTCAACACTCTTGGTTACTGCATTCCTCCATTGCATCGAAGGGCAGAAGGTCAACAGAGGGACATGAAAGAGGACATGTGGCTCATCCAGTTCCACAAATTCTCTGCCACTCCCAGGATGTGCTGCCTGAGGCACTCCCAAATGTTACGGCCGGCCCTGTCAACCAACAGTATGTTACCAGTGTTGTCACTAGTGAAATAACTAGCATGCCAGATTTGATAGAAGTCTCCAATGACTGAAAACATCCTTCACACAATTTTACATACATGCATGATTGTGATTGTAAATTATTGTTTGTTTTATGAAAACAGCTTGGGACCTTGAAGAAGAGAATGGCCTTCTTTTAATGAAGTGTGCACAATTGCTGGAGGAAACATGAGTATAATTACCATAACCTTACTATGTGGAGTAGAAAGCTAGCAATACATAGTAGTTAGATTTTTGGAATCAAACTCTGTATTCAAGTCTGGACTTGGGAATGAAGTTCTTGGAGTAAATTTGGGCCAGCTTCTGCCTCTCACCTATGCCTATCTTACAGGTTATATGAGGATAAAATGGAAATGAGGAGAAGGTAAGCCACTCTGGGTTCCTTGCAAGATGAAAAAGTCAGGATATAAATGCTAAAATCAATGCAATAAGAATGAATAAATGATGCTCCTTCTCCAAGTCTTTCAGTGCTGCAGTCCTGAACAGCTTGTGCTCTTTTCTGTTGAGTTAGTTTAAGGAATATGAAGGCAGCTCTATGCAGATTGTTGCTGGCTTTATTTTGGAAATGTTAAAGCAAGTTCTAGATGCATGTAAGCCTTCTAACACCTGGCTCCTCTCTATGTCCTTCTGTGGATAGAGGTAAAGCATCAGGGACTGAGACAAACAGAAAGGATAAATGGTCATCTTATGTATTGTAAGCAGCTTAGGAAGGCCTCAGCAATTGCAGGCAGCCTATAAATACATGTATAAACAAACAGACAAACTTTTACTCAGAAAATAAGGTTTTCAGTTGGGAGGGGGGTCCCTTCTTTGATGTCTTCCTTGACTTCTACTGGAGGCTGTGGCTGCAATTTCAAACACACTTACTAGGGAGTAAACATAATTGAACATAGTGCAACTCATTTCTGAGTAAATATCTTGATTGCAATGCAAGACTACAGTCCTATACATTTATTGTTGCGATAGGCCATCAATTCATCTCTGCCTTATGGTGACTCCATGAATTAATGTACTTAAAAATGTCCTGTCCTTGAGAGCCCTGCGGCTTCCTTTATGGGATTATACATTGATATACATAGGTAGGAACATAGGAAGTTTCCTAATACCAAAGTATCAGTATTGCGTGGCCTTGGCTGGCAGTTGTTCTTTGGGGTTTTGAACAGGATCCTTTCCTAGCCCTACCTGGAGTTGGGGGGATTAAACTTCTTAGCCATGTCCTGAACCTACTTACTTGCCTGAAGTAAGTCTCACTGGACTCAGCTTGTGCCTTCTAAATGGACAGATGTATGATCGTGCTATATTAAGACATGACTGGTTTTTGTACTCATACTGACCATCCTTCAGCAGCATGCCACACCACAAGGATCTGAGTCTATGCAGCCAAGCTCATTTTTGGAATGGTCTGGAGCTCTTTGCCTTTTGTAGTACAACTGTTCCCAGGTTGCATTGTGTGGTAGTACGGATTATGTAGGCAAGTCCAGTGAACAGATGGAAGGTCTGTGAACAGGTGGTCCTCCCCTGAAAAGAGGGCTAAGTAGATGGCCTTTTTGGTGATTTCCATATTTGTGATTCTGTATTTAGAAAGACCTATTCAGAATAATAAGGGATGCAGGTGGAGCAGTGGTTTAAACTGCTGTGCGGCTGGACTGGTTGATCGAAAGGTTGTTGGTTCGAATCTGCACAATGGGGTGAGTTTCTGTTGCTCTGTCCCAGCTCCTGCCAACCTTGCAGTTTGAAAGCATGCAAATGCAAGTAGATAAAAAGGTACCACTTCGGTGGGCAGGTAACAGAGTTCCGTGCACTTCGGTGTTTAGTCATGCTGGCCACATGACCACGGAGACTGTCTGCAGACAAACGCTGGCTCCCTCAGCTAGGAAACAGAGATGAGCACCACCCCCTAGAGTCAGACATGACTGGACTTTAATGTCAAGGGGAAACCTTTACCTTTATCTTTACCTTTATTCAGAATAATGCCACCCAAATCTCTTCTGGTGTATGTTACTGAAAAATGGATAGATTCCATCCCTTCATCCAGCCAGCCAAACAGCCATTTGATTCCTACCTTCATGGAGATAGGGTGTCCCTCACCAACGGGAGGTCCACAAAACCTCCTGCATGCATTGGGGGGAAAAGCATGTGAGAGGGACCACAGAGGCAGCTGAACTAGCCCTGCTTCCAATGGCTACTCTCTACTGCCAATGCCTGTGGCAGTAAAGCCTTCCCACTGTCCACAGAAAGGGGCATGGAGGACATCCATATATGCTGATGCTTGCGTATAGAGGATGACTCTGATGGGCCCAGAGTCCCTGCTTCCATGAAGGAGTCTGCTTGTATACATCAGGACATTCCTCTGCTGGCCGTATATGCAGATGGTGGGGGAGCATTTCTGCTGTTGGAGACAGCAGCTGCAGGCATGACTGTGGCACATAGGAACAGGGCTCCACTAGGCAGCCCTGTGCCCCTTGCCCCTCTAATTTTGCAGTTTATGGGATGAAATTCCAGCTTCTAAACAGATCCACTCCAACATGATGTAGATCTAGGGAAGTACTTCAGGGACAGGATTTTGGACATCATGAAGTTATAAGCTGCCAGTTGAGCCACCTGCAATATGGCACCCTGTGATAAAGGAGCTACAGAACTTGCCCAAGAAGGCTTTAGGTTTCCTGAATGGTCAAAAGACCTTTTGAGATGAAGGGTAGTTTTAAGAACAGATTGGGATGCAGGCAGGACCAGCATCGAGGGTTAGCTGTGTGGGGGTGTTTGCTTTGCACCCACAGTCCAGCAAGATTCCTGGGACTTGCTCCTCATCTTCACCATCACAATCTGCATCTTTACCCACCTCTCGCTCTGGGCTGGAAAACAGGGGTGGCACGAAGGTGGAGCAGTGAGATGACACTGCCTGCATGCACGTTGGCTTTTTGTAGGGCAAGTGAGCAGCGATCAACAGTGATGAGAAAGGTGAGGGGGAGCAGCAAGTGGAGGTGTCTGTGCAGATGTAGAGCCGCAGAAGGAGAGGGGTCCACTGATTTAGTCTTGCTGAATGGCCATCTGAAACCTGGCAGAGGCACCAGATATGGCAGTGGGTGTATATAGCAGCTGTCCGAAGGAACAAAGAACACACTCCTATGCAAGTTTACTCAGAAAACTCAATTAAAAGCTACACAGACTTGTGCTCAAAGTAAACAGGCAAGTAAGCACAGCGCTTTGCATTCCAGACAATTTCTGTATGCCAGTTTCACAGCACTCTATACACACAGGAACTCTGTGGATCTAGTGGCAATATCAATATCTTCAATATTACATTTTACTTGCTGCCTGCTGGCCAAAAGAAGGTCCCTAAAACCCAAAATCAATATCCTAAACATTTAAAGCAACAACAACGAATAACAAGAGCAGCTGTAAAATGGTAAAGCAGAAAAGAACCAAGAGTAAAAGTGATCCACTTGGGGGAACAGTATTCCAATATGCTGGCCTGCTGGAAGAAGATAAAACCTGCAGTCTTTCTGAATGGGGAAAAAGGGAGAGGAGCTAGTGAGGGGGGCCCAGAGTTTGGGCCTACCACTGAGAAGGCCATATCCTGGTGGACCAACACTGGACTGGTGTTCCTGCCACTCTCCTCACCTCAGCCAGTTCTTCCAACAATGCTTGCTTGCTTGCTTGCTTGCTTGCTTGCTTGCTTGCTTGCTTGCTTGCTTATTTATTTATTGAATGCTTTTCTAACCCATCCACCACTAGTGTCTTGGGATGGCTTACAATAAAGAATATAAAGCTGCATCATCACTACCACCACTAAAGGCTGCTTGCTGGGCAAAGAGATGGGAAGCATCTCTTCTTTATTTCTTTAGTTAGTTAGTTTTTAATACCACCCAACAACTGAGGCTCTCTGGGAGGTTTAAAAAAAGTTCTCTCTCTCTCTCTCTCTCTCTCTCTCTCTCTCTCTCTCTCTCTCTCTCTCTCTCTCTCTCACACACACACACACACACACACACACACACACACCACAGCTGCTAGAACATTGAATATTCTGCCTCAGCTGCTAGAAAATGTTGGCCCCTTTCCAGTCCTAATTGTAAATAAGTTACAGGCACCGTGCGTCTTGCTAGGCCAACTATGTTTTAAAAAGCACCCACCAATGTGAAAAGGTCTCCTTTCAGTATGCCGGAGGACTGGGAAAACTCACTGGCAAAGTGCTGCTTGATGACTTCTAAGGGTCTGCTTTTAGCCCTGAGATCTCTCTCTGCATATTTACATCCTTTGTCACATTTGTTAGCCTTATTTTAAATGGGAGAGTATAGTGACCTAATTAAAAGAATACTGAAAAGCCATGGGAGGGCATTGTCTGAGTGGCATGGTGAGACTGTGAGGAGGAGGAGATGCTGGTGACTGCAGGGAAAGGGCTGAGAGCACAGCTCTGACATGGAGGTTCATGGCTGGAGGTGGCTTGGACGGCATAGCAGGGGCCTCTCGAGGGCAGGGGCCATGCTGCGTTGCACCTTGTGCTGCTCTGGGGCCCCTCGAACGTGACCGTCTCTGGTTTTCTCCTGATATTGGCAGTGGGTAAGCTCAGGGTTAGGGTTGCTGGGGTACGGATGTGTTGATTCCAATGCCACTCTTCCCCCGGGCAGTCTTGATCCAGATTTGTCAGGCACGCCAGCCCTGGAGTACTAATCCTGGTTTATTGGTATTAATGGACCACTAATAGTTCATTGTGGGCAATGGGGAGGAGAAACTGTAAGTTTGTAATTCTGATGGGCTGAACAGCCTTGACCCACATGTAGTCTTCCTTCGCACCCAGGCACACACTTTCTGCCCAGAACAACATGAAAAGGTAGCACTCAAGATGAATCTTCAGGGAAGGGCCATGGTCCAGTGACAGGGTATAGGCTTCGCATGTGGAAGGACACAAATTGAACTCCAAGCATCTTCAGGTAGGGCTGGAAAACTCCTGAATCTGGGGAGATGCTCCAGTCATTCTCAGTGAAACTGGGCTAGTTGGACTGAGGGTCTAATTCCAAAACGAAAAATGGCTTCTTCTCTATATCAGAGCAGATCGATGCATAGGTGAAGACACTCAGTAGAAACTCATGTTTCTGACTTCAGTAACTATGGAATGCTGGCAAATTTCCAAATTGACTATGTTGAATCTTTTTCAAGAAACTGTATGATGAAGTTCAACCGCTTTGGGGGAAGAACAACCTGCTTGTTCTTTTTCTTGGTTTCAGTTGAGTTTGCCAAGGTAAGATCCTCCTGCCCTTTCAGTAATAAGCAAATATTCCTCCACACCATTTGAAACATACTCATGTTGTTATGATGTATTCCCCTTATGGCAAACATCACTATATACCAAACAAATGACTCTTGCCAACAGAATGTTCCCTTTCAGGATAGTGCAGCCACATATTTGTAAGCTAGGGGTTTCTCCATCTTATAGAAGGTCAGAATATTTACTTAGGGCACAAACCTCTGCATGGCTGAGGCATGCTGAGAATTGTAGGCCCTTTCTTCTGTCTAAACTTGCCTGGGAGCAACCTTCAACAAGGTCAGACAATTTATTCATCTAACCTACTATTGTGCTATCCAACCATTTGAGGGAGGTCTTTGCCTCAGCTGCTAGTTGGATCTTCTCAATAGCAGCAGCACCTCTGTGTAACTCCTTCTGGCTAAATATGTGAACAAATAATGATTTGGAGCATAACTTCTGTTTCTGGTTTCCCATTCAGTAGGTCTCTGGTCTGATTTAATAGCAGCCTCAGCTACCTGTCAGAAACATTGCTGCGCATCAAGTTGTTGAAACAATTATTCTGGACCCCTGTCAGTTTGGCTATGGGCTTAGTTGCTCCTGCTATAATAAAATTGATCAAACCTTTGACAGCCAAATTATATGGTGCATCCAGATTGAGTAAATGGTACTGCTGTCTGTATTGGCTAGCTGCTCTGTTGAGTTATAATATCAATTTTGGATGAATGTGTATGAGCGCAGCTGCTTTCTCATAGATGGCAATGGAAATAACTGGGTGAGCCTTGCATTTTTCTTTTGAGAAACTCTCCGATATAATTGACATGTGAGTTATTTGGACAGCACTCCCTGGAGGCACAGGATCTCTTTTGGCTGGAGGATGGAATGCCCATATTGTGCCTGACTAATGATAGGACACAATGAGAGTCCTGAAGTGCCTGCTTCCCGCTCTTGTCCCCCCAGTCCTCCTATTGGCACCTGTCACCAGGCTGAGTCCCATGTCCAGAGCAAGAACATTTTTTTGTTGTTGTTAATTTGGCCTTTCAGCTTAACTTTGGCTTAGCAGCTTCTGACCAGATTTTCAGAAATGTGTCTATAATATTTCCACCTGCAGCAAAATGTACTCTTGTTCACTTACAGCACCCCTAAGAATGAGTGCCCACCAAAATGTCCCATCCTTGACCGCCCTGTTCAGCTCTTGAAAGCTCAAGGCTGTGAAGCTGATGACTTCATGAAAATGGATTCACCACCATGGAGTACCATGGATAGTGCCTACAAAGCTCAACATGGAACCTGCCATAGATAAGGACCCTTGGGAGTCACTGGCCTCCCTTGGATATCTTTTAGCCACCCAGAAGACTCAAAGCAGCCACTTCCAATGTCCAGCTGAAAACCCTGCAGGGTGGGAACATAATTCAGCAACACACGCACATCATCAAGCCTGTGTGTGTGTGGGTCAGCATGGCACACCTGCATTGCATCTCACATCAGGTTCATAATGGAAGGAATTGTGTGCCAAACCCTCCACTTTAGGAATTGGGACAAATGATTGGTAGACATGTGAAGAAGGTCTCAAATGCTGTCCAGTTAGCTAATGGTTAATACCTTGGCCTATAGGCTCTTGGGTTTTTCTTTTCTTTTTAATATCAGTAAAGATAATGCCTGTACATAATCTGGGGCATCAGTTCATGCTCTGTGTTTGAATTGTACTTCCTAGTTTGCCAACAGTTCTGGTGCTACAACTGCCAATTGTGCTCATTCAGAGACAGGTAACTCAAGCAGCAAACCTAAAATAGGACTCAGGGAAGGTGTCAGCTGAAAATAGAACAGCTTTTATATGGTGGATTGGTCACGGCACATGGCTTATCCAGCACGATGCTGTATCATTCAGCCTTTATATGGACTGCACTAGTTTCATTCCTGTATGTTACTTAGAACTGGTGCTTCCAACTAACTTAAAGTGCAACAGTATGCATTTTACAGAAAAATAAGTGTAAATGAAGCTTACTTTCTAGTGTATGTGCATAGGATTGCAAATCATAGAATCATAGAATACTAGAGTTGGAAAGTGCCATGAAGGCCATCAAGTCCAACCCCCTGTTATTGCAGGACACCATGTCACACCGTCCCACTCAGATGGCTGTCCAGTTTCTTTCTGAATGTCTCCTGTGTGGGAGAGCCCACCACCTCTCTAGGCAGCTGGTTCCACTGTTGTATTGCTCTGACAGTGATAAAGCTTCTCCTTATGCCCAGTCTGAATCTGAGCTGTCGCAACTTGAATTGACTATTCCATGTCCTACACTCTAGCATCAGCAAGAAGAGATCTTGGCCTTCCTCTTTGTGACAGCCTTTGAGGTACTTATAGAAGGATATCATGTGCCCCCCACCCCCTAGTCTTCTCTTCTCAAGGCTGAACATGCCCAGTTTTCTCAGTCTCTCCTCAAAGGACAGAGTTTCCAAACCCAGATCACTTTTGTTGCCCTCCACTGGACCCTTTCTAATTTACCTGCATCTTTCTTAAATCTTGGTGTGCAGAACTGGACACAGTACTCCAGGTGAGGTCTGACTAGTGAGGTGTTATAGAGGAACCTACTACTTATTGTGATTTGGAAGTAATACTTCTGTTAATGCATCCAAAAATAGCATTTGCCATTTTGATGGCTGCATTGCATTGTTGGCTCATGTTTAGCCTATTGTCCACAATTACTCCGAGATAGTTTTCTTTTTCAGTTCCGTTGAGCCACGTAT